AAAAAAAAAAAAAAAAAAAAAAAAAAGAAAAGCTGAGTAGCTCACTGGGTTTTCAGTCTGCTTCACAATTTGATAGCTATGTGCAACTTTGGGTAAATCACTTAAATATTCATTTCCTAATCTGAAAATTAGGTCAATAATTATATCAGACTGTTGAAGAATCAGGAGATATAGAAAGCTCAAGCATAGTTATAACATGCATTAAGTAAGCACCAGTAAGTGATGTTTATTATATTTGTTTAAAAAGTATTACTCTGGCACTATATAAAATACCAGGTACTGTTACATCTTAGGTATCTAGTAATGAGCCAAACAGGTAAGGGTTTACCCTCAAGCACTCAAAAGAGCTAAAATGATTCTTTTCCCCAGATTGTCTTATAAGTTAGTTCAGATACTACACTTGATCTTAGCCAAAAGGCCGAGAAGCGATATTATAAGTTAGTTCAGAAATCACAAATGATTCTCTTGTCTCTGGTTCCAAATCTTACTTTACTTGGAGTAGGATTTCTAGGTCAGATAGTAGCTTTATGTTTCATTTTCTGGGGAACCACTAAACTTTTGCACTGTGGCTATACCATTTTATATGCTTACCAATGATGTATGAAGGTTAGAATTTCTCTACATTCTTGCCAAAGCTTATTTTAAATGTTTGAACACATAAAAATAATTTTAAGATATGAAGATAAAATTTATAAAAATCTAAATTTAAGAAACCAGTAAAACTGCGGAGAGTGGTCAATTCAGCAAGACCCCATAATAAACAAGGAAGAGTTGGGGATGTAGCTCAGAGTAAAGGGAGGAAAAAGACTGATGTTTTTGCTCCAGATGTTCCAATTTGTTCCAGTTCACTAAACACTAAGGTCACCTTCACTGGCAAGCTGAGCTTCAGACTGTCAGTAGTCTAATCAGACAACCATTATAGACTCTGTTATGGTAGTAGTTTACATTTTAGAGTTGTCCAGTGAAAGTATACAAAGTGGTGGGATGTTAAAGATATAATGAAGTATCAGTATACTCTTCATAACTACTTCCAACACTGCTAACAAATTAGCCAATTACAGTAAGCTTTCGATTGCACCAGAGTGTATGTGGTCACCAGAGCAACTAAATCAACACAGAGTTTCAGTATTATCTCTCTCTGGATCATCCAGTGTCAATGAACAAGTTACAATTTAAATATATTTTGTTTTAAAGTCATACTTTTATTAATTTATTTTTGCTCCCTAATACTGAAGCATGTCAGTGTATTTACAGTTTAAGGAAGTAGACAATGTCAATCTACAAATTATTTAACGCCATTTACCTAAAAATGATAATCTATTACTGCTTTGTGAAATTGATTCTGTAACTTTAACTCCTCTATCAAAGAAAGTAATATAACTAATTTCTAGATCATTAACAATCACATTGAAATTATATGAACACAAAGTATAAGTTTTAAAATATTTTGTGTATAAAGGTATAAAATTTGTTATAAAAAGTGCAACTCAATGCTTTTTAGAATACACACAGAATTGTACAACCATAACAATGTGAGAACATTTTCATTAGTTTAAAGAAACTTCTGTAGACTTTCATAGCTGGCTGCTTTCATTTAGCATAATATTTTCCAGATTCATTCAGGCTGATACATATACTAATGTAATTCATACCATGTTATGCCTAAATGATATTCCATTGCATAAATATATTTTGTTTATCCATTCATGTATCTTGTGGACATTTGGAATGCTCTCACTTTTTGTGTACTATTAGTGCTGTTGTACAATTTTCTTTTGCATGGAAATACATTTTGTTTCTCTTGGGTATTTAACCAGGAGTAGAACTGCTGGACTGTTTTCCAAAGTGGATTTATTAATTTATGTTCCCACCAGCAGTGTATGAGGCTTCCAAGTTTTCCACATCCTTGCCAACATTTGTTACTAACTCACATTTTCATTTCAGCCATCCTAGGAAGTGAGAAGCACTACAATATCTCAATTTTAGTTTCTTGATGACATCTTTTCTAACAGAAAATTATTCAACTTCAAAAAGTACACTATATTTCATTTTTCTTTTCTTGTGTTTTTGGTGTTGTATCTTGAAACCATTCCATAATTCAAGACCATGGAAGTTTATCCCTATATTTTAGTCTGAGTCTTGCAGTTTAGTTCTTGTTTTAGAATTGATTCATTTTTGAGTTAATTTTGTGGACAGCTGATATGCATCCAACTTCTTTCTTTTACATTACGATACAGAGTTGACTCAGCACCATTTGTTGAAAAGACTATTTTTTCCCAACTAAATCATTTAGGCAGCTTTGTCAATAATCAACTGACCATAAACATAAAGGTTTATTTTAGAACTCTGAATTCTTTCCAGTAATCAATGTCTATCTTTATGCTAGTGCCATACTGTCTTGGTCATATTTTACATTTTACAACTGGGAAATGCTGAGTACTCCAATTATCTTCTTTTTTGAGATTGTTTTGGTTTTTCTGAGTCCATATGACCTTTAGAATCAATTTCTGCAAAGCAATAAACTATGATTTTGTTAGATGTGTTATGTGTGTCCAATTTAGGGAGTACTCTGATAGATATTAAGTCTTCTGAACTATGATCATGGGATCTTTTTTCCTTTTTAAATCTCCCTTAATTTCTTTTTTGATATTTTCTACTTTTTCAGAGTAAGAGACATATATTTTACTGGTTTATTTTTGCAGTACTGTAAATTGAACCCACTGCCTCACACACTAGGCTTTCTCACTGAGCTATATCCTAAGGCCCATTTCCTATTTTTTCTTTAAATTTTGAGACAGGGTGCTGGTAAGTTGCTCAGGCTGGCCATGAACTGGCCTTCTGCCTCAGTAACCTGAAGAGCTGGGATTCCAGGTGTGTGCCACCATGCTTGGTTAAAAATCTTTATTTTCAGACAGTTCATTGTTACTATATGAAAATACAACTGATTAGTCTAAATTGAATTTATGTCCTACAATCTTGATAAATTTAATACTTCTAACAGTATTTAGTGATTTAAGATTTTCTTTTTATAAGATTATGTTATCTTTGGATAGAGTTTTATTCCTATGAGGATGCTTTTAATTCTTTATTTATTTAACTGGGCTAGACCTTCCAGTAAATGTTGAATAGGAGTGAGAACAGGACATCTGTCTTGATTTTAATCTTAAGGGAAAGGCATTCAGTCTTTACCATTAAGTATAATGCTAAATGTAGGTTGTTTTGTTTTGGTAAATATCTTTTATAAGGCTGAAGTGGTTCTTTTCTGTTCCTTATTTACTGTTTCTTTTTTTTAATCATGAAAAGTGATGAATTCAGTCAAAGGCTTCTTCTGAACCTACTGAGATGATCATGTGGTTTCTGTCTTTTTTCTATTCTGTGAAACAGGACAAAGACTGTTTCAAATATGTTGAACACAACAATTTGCATTCCTGGTCTAGATCTCACTTAGTTGAAATGTATAATTACTTTTCAGTTTTGTGACCTTCTAGATTATTTAACCATCTAGGATATCTATTGTTGGCATGCAACAATTCAGACTATTCCCTAATAATCCAGTTTTACTTTTATAAGACCTGTGAAATGACTCTTCTTTCTTGATTTCAATAATTTGAGTCTTTTTTTCTTGATTATATACCCAAAGAGTTGGCAATATTGTTCATTTTTTTAAAGAACCAACTTTTAGTATTGTTAATTCTTTCCTAGTCTCTAGTTCATTTATTTCTAATCTTTACTATTTTCTTCCTATTAGCTTTGCTTTTTTATTTCTATTTTCTTGAAGTAGAAAGTTACTAAGATTTAAAAAAAAGACATAGACTTGAGCCACTACGAATTTAAGTGCTGTTTCAACTCTAACTCATAAATTCTCCTATGCTGTGCTTTTCTCTCATTCATCCCAAAGTATTTTCTAATTTCTTTTTGTGATTCTCTTTGGCCTATTTGTTATTTAGTAACATAGTTTTACTTATATTTTGACTGTTCTAAATTTCTTTGATTTTTAATTCAATTCCACTGTTTTTGGAGGTAGATGTTACACTTTCTGGCTTTTAAAATTTATAAAGATTTCCTATCTTTATTCCTTTTCTTTCTCTTGTCTAATTGCTATGGCTGTCTCCAGAACTATACTCAACAGGAGTGGTGATAGTGAAGACCAAAATGTATAAAAGAGAATGTGAAATAGGAAAAGGTCCAAAGGGGAAGTGGGGGGGTGCTGTAGGGGAAAGAAAAGAAGGAAAAAAAGAAACATAAGTTTTTATAAATAGGGAGGGAACATAGTTTTTGTAAATAGCAAGGTGTGGAAAGGAGGGAAGGAGAATGGGGAAAAAACAAGAACCAAGAAAAAATTTAAAATTCATCTATTTTATGGCCTAGCATATAACCTATGAACAATGATCCACATGACATGCACTTGAAAATAGTGCACATATAGCCACTGTGGGGTGTAGTGTTCTATAGATGTGTTAGGTTTATAGTATTTATATTTCCTTGTTGATTTTCTGCCTGGTTGTTCTATTCATTATTGAAAATGAAGTATTAATTTCCAACTATAATAGTTCAATTGTCTATTTCTTTCCTCAATTCCAACAATTATTACTTCAGGTAATTCAAGGGTCTGTTGTTAGGTACAGATTAGCCTTTATCACTGTCAAGCTGATAATGCCTCTAGTAACTTTTCTGACTTAAAAGTCCATTTATTTGATATTAGCAGAGCTTCATTAATATAAAAAGCACAGTGCTGCTCTTGCTTGTCCACCCCCTTCTCTCTTTCTTCCTCCTGGCCACCAAGAGGTGAACAGACTTCCTCGGTCATGCCCTTCTTTCTGTATGATGGTCTCTTCATCACAGGCCCCAAAACAATGAGCCAAGGGATCATAGGCTAAGATCTCTGAAACCATGAGCCAAAATGAATTTTTCCTCAAGTTGTTTATATCAGATATTTTGTCACAGTGATGCAAAGTTGACTAACAATTATTTCACTGATGAATATTTGAAAATTTACTGACCATCTATTACTATCTCAAATTTTAAACTTGAAATGCTAACATTTAAAACCCCTTTATCAACTACCCAGTTGATAATATATCTCATTTTTTAAAAATTTAAAAATATTTCAAATACACAAGAAAATAGAAAGTATTATACTTATTACTTTCCAGAATCAACCAGACTTATAATGCTGATAAATGTTACACAGATCTATTATTACTATAATATACTGTTGTCTTGAGATTTTTTCCTTTTGATTAGTTTATATCAGTAACATTACATCTCACATATCCCTTTCTTGTTATTTTACTCAACATTGTAATTTCGAGATGTATTCAAAATATAGATTCATATAGTGGAATACTGGTACATGTTATCTAGTATTGCACTGCATAAATCCCCTAAAACCTATCTATTTCCTCACTTTGGAACATTTATATTTTTTCC